GTGCGTGTGTGTGTGTGTGTGTCTGTTTGTGTCCGTGCGTGTTTCTGTGTATGTGCGTGTGTGTGTCTGTGTGTGTCTGCGCGTGCGTGTGCGAAGAATGTGCGTGTGTGTGTGTGTGTGTGTGCCTGTGTGTCTTTGTGCGTGCGTGTGTGTGTGTTTGTGTGTATGTGTGCGCGTGTGCGTGTGTGTGTGCGTGTGTGTGTGTGTGTGTGTGTCTGTGTGTGCGTGTGTCTGTGTTTGTTTGCGTGTGTGCGTGTGTGTGTCCCTTTCTGTGTGTGCGTGTGTCTGTGTGTCTGTGTGTGTGTCTGTGTGTGTTTGTGCGTGCGTGCGTGTGCGCGTGTGTGTGTGTGTATGTGTGCGCGTATGTGTTTGTGTGTTCCTGTGAGTGTGAGGTTGTGTATACGGGTGTATATGTGTGTGCGTGTGCGTGTCTGTGTGCGGTCGTGTGTGAGTGTGAATGCATGTGTGTTTGTATGTGCGTGTGTGCTTGTGTGTGTGCGTGTGTGTGTGTGTGTGCTTGCATGTGAACGTGTATGTGTCTGTGTGTGCATGTGTGTGTGTGTTTGCATGTGTGCGTGTGTCTGTGTGCGTGTGTGTGTGTGTGTTTCTGGTTGCGCTTGTGTGTGTGTCTGGTCTGCGTACGTGTGTGTGTGTGTGTGAGTGCGTGTGCTCGTGCGTGCGTGTGTGTGTGTGTGTGTGTGTCTCTGTGTCGGCGTGTGTGAGTGTGTGTGTGTGTGTGTGCGGGTGTGTGTTTGATTATTTGTGTTTGCGTGTGTGTGTGTGTGTGTCTGTGTGTGTGTGTGTGCATGTGTGTGTGTTTTTCTGTGTGTGTGTGTGTCTGTGTGTGCGTGTGTGCTTGTGTGTATGTGTGTGGGTGCGTGTGTGTGTGTGTGTTTGTGTGTGCGTGTGTGTGTGTGGTTGTGTGTATGTGTTCGTTTGTGTGTGCCTATGTGTGCGTGCGAGAGAGTGTGTGTGTGTGTGTGTGTCTGCGTGTGTTTGTGTGTGCGCGTGTGTCTGTGTGTATGTGTGTGTCTGTGTGTGTGCGTGTGCGTGTGTGTGTGTGCTCGTGCGTGCGTGTGTGCGTGTGTGTGTGTGTGTGTGCGTGTGTGTGCGTGTGTGTGCGTGTGTGTGTGTGTGTGCGGTGTGTGTGCGTGTGTGTGTGTGTGTGTGTTCGTGTCTGTGTGTGGTTGCGTGGTGGTTGCGTGTGTGCGGTGTGTGTGTGTGTCTGTGTGTGTGCGTGTGTGGTGTGTGTGGTGTGTGTGTGTGTGTGTGTGTGTTTGTGTGCGTGTGTGTGTGTGTGCGTGTGTGTGTATGTGTCTGTGCACGTGTGTGCGCGTGTGTGTGTGTGTGTGTGTGTGTCTGACTGCGTGTGTCCGCGTGCGTGTGTGTGTATCTGTGTCTGTGTGTGTGTCTCAGTGTGTGTGTGTGTGCGTGTGTCTGTGTGTGCGCGTGCGTGTGCGTGTGTGTGTGTGTGTGTCTGTCTGTCTGTGTGCGTGTGTGTGTGTGCGTGTGTGTGTGTGTGCGTTTTTTGCGTGCTTGTGCGTGTGTGTGTGTGTGTCTGTGTGCGTGCGTGTGTGAGTGTGTGTGTGCGTGTGTGTGTGTGTGCGCGTGTTTGTGTGTGTGTGTCTTTGTGTGCGTGTGCGTGTGTGTCTGTGTATGTGCGTGTATGTGCGTGTGTGCCGGTGTGTGCGTGCGTGTGTGTGTGCGTGTGCGCGTGTCTGTGTGGGTGCGCGTGTTTGTGTGTGTGTGCGTGTGTGCGTGCGTGTGTGTGTTTGCCTGTTTGTGCGCGTGCCTGTGTGTGCGTGTGTGCGTGTGTGTGTGTGTGTGTTTGCGTGTGTGTCCTTGTGTGTTCGCGTGTGACTGTGTGTGGCTGTGTGTGCGTGCGTGTGTGCGTGGGCGCGCGTGTGTGCGCGTGTGTGTGTGTGTGTGTCCTTGTGCGTGTGCGTGCGTGCGTGTGTGTCTGTGTGTTCGCGCGTGTATGTGTGTGTGTGTGTGTGTGAGTGTTTGTGTCTACGTGTGCGTATGTGTGTGTGTGTCTGTGTGTGTGTCTGTGTCTGTGTGTCTACGTGTGTGTGCGTGTGTGTGTGTGTGTGTGTTTGCGTGTGTGCGTGTACGTGTGTGTCGGTGAGTCAGTGTGCGTGCGTGTGTGGATGTGCGTGTGTCTGTCTGTGTGTGGGTGGCTGTGTGTCTTTGTGTGTGCGTGTGGGTGTGTGGGTGTCCTTGTTTCTGTGCGCGTGTGTGTGTGTGTCTGTGTGTGTTCGCGCGTGCGTGTGTGTGCGTGTGTGTGTGTGTCTTTGCGTGTGTGTGTGAGTGTGTCTGTGTACGTGTGTGTGTGTGTTAGTGCATGTGTGTGTGTGTGCTTGTGCGTGTGTATGTGTGTGGGCGTCTGCGTGTGTGCGAGTCTGTGTATTTGTGTGTGAGTGTGTGTGTGTGTGAGCGTGTGTCTGTGTGTGCGTGTGCGTGTGTATGTGTGTCTGAGTGTGTGCGCGCGCGTGTGTGCGTGTGTGCGTGGGTGGGTGCGTTTGCGTGTGTGTGCGTGTGTGAGCGTGTGTGTGTGTGTGTGTGTGTGTGTGTGTGTGTGCACGTGTGTGTGTGTGTGCGTGTGTGTGTGTGTCTGTGTGTGTCAGTGTGTGTGTGTGCGTGTCTGTGTGTTTACGTGTGTGTGCGTGTGTGTGTGTACGTGTGTGTGTGTGTGCGAGTGTGCGTGTGTGTGCCTGTGCGTGTGCGTGTGCGTGTGTGGGTGTGCGTGTGTCAGTGTGTGTGCGTGTGCGTGCGTATCTGTGTGTGTGTGTGTCTGTGTGTGTCTGTGCGTGTGTGTCTGTGTGTATGTCTGTGTGTGGGTGTATGTACGTGTGTGTGTGTGCGTTTGTGTGTGTGCGTGTGTGTGTGTGTGTCTGTGTGTGCGTATGTTTGTGTGTGTGCGCGTGTGAGTGTATGAGTGTGTGAATGTGTGTGTGTGCGTCGATGTGTGTACGTGTATGTGTGTACGTGTGTGTGTGTGTCTGTGTGTACGTGTTTGTGTTCGTGAGTGTGTGTGTGGCTGCGTGTGTCCGTGTGTGTGCGTGTGTGTGTGTGTGTGTGCGTGTGTTTGTGCGTGTGTCTGTGTGTGTGTGCGTAGCCCGCCTAGCCTTCTAGCTTTTAGCTGAAGAGGTGTGCTTTCGCCCCGCAGATCAAAAAGCTGTGAATGTGTCTGTGTGTGTGTGTGTCTTGGCGTGTGCGTGTGTGTGTGTGTGTGTGGGTGTCTGTGTGTGCGTGTGTGTGTATGTTTGTGCGTGTGTCTGTCTGTGTGCGAGTGTGTGTGTGTGTGTGTGCGTGTGTGTGCTTGTGCCTGTGCGTGTGTGTGTGTGTGTGCCTGTGTTTACGTGTGTGTGTGTGTCTTTGTGTGCGTGTGTGTCTGTGTGTGCGTGTGTGTTTGTGGCTGTGTGTTTCTGTGTGTATGTGCGTGTGTGTCGGTGTGTGCGTGTGTGTGTGTGTGCGTGTGTGGGTGTGTGTGTCTGTGTGCTTGCGTGTGTGTGTGTGTATGCGTGCGTGTGTGTGTATGTATATGTGTGTGCGTGCGTGTGTGTCTGCGTTTGTGTGCGTGTGCGTGTGTGTCTGTGTGATTGTCTGTGTCAGTGTTTGTGCGTGTGTCTGTGTGTCTACGTTGGACCTGTGTCTGTGTGTGTGTCTGTGTGTGTTTCTGTGTGTCTACACCTTAGGCGATGCTTAAGAAAACTTAAGTTTTCGGCCAGAGTCTCGATTATTCTTGAAGTTTCAATGTAAATCTTAAGATTTGAATAGAAATGTTGGGTTTTTATTCAACTTCTGAGACTACGAATTTCTTAACCCATGATTTCTTAAGCATTTCGCTGGGTGTACGTGTGTGTGTGTGTGTGCGCATGTGTGTCTGTGTGTGTGTGTCTGTGTGTTGGCGTGTGTGTGTGTGTGTGTGTCTGTGTGTGTGTCTGTGTGTGTATCTCTTTGTGTCGCCCGCGGCTTCGCGCGCGCCCGCCGCTAGTCGCGGCCGCAGCCCGCCCGCGACCGCCCGCCGCCGGCGCTTCCGCCTGCGGCTGTAAAAAAAAAGTATCTCTGTGTGTCTGTGTGTGTCTGTGCGTGTGCGTGTGCGTGTGTGTGTGTGTGTGTTTGTGTGTCTGTGTGTGTGCGTGTGTGTGTGTTTGTCTGTGTGTGAGTGTGTGTGTGCTTGTGTGTCTGTGTGTGTGCGTGTGTGTGCGTGTGTGTCTATGTGTGTCGCTGCGTGTGTGTTTGCCAGCGCAGCTCCTTCAACTTTATAACCCCACCTCCCTTCTTGCCCCCGTTTTGCTTCCCTTTCTTCTTTTGCCGCTGCGCTCTGTTGCGAGAGGTGGCGTTTCCAGCAGCTTGCCTGTAGCATTGTGCGCTCGCACGCTTGGCGTAGCACAACTGCTGAACCATGAGGCTTTGCTCTGGCAATTTCGTCATCGGCTCGTGAAGGATGTTTGTGCGGGTGACTTCTCCAGCACTGCCCGTGGAGGCGGCCTCATCCACGCGCGAGTTTTACATTGTGTTAGTATGTTTTTTTTCTCGATGCTTCCGCTCGCGAGCACCATTTGCGCGGGCACCGCTGGAGAAACCAGTTATGGGTACGCACACACAGGCTATTTCATTAGGTCTCTCCTCCTACTATTTCAGTTATTCCGATTAACTTCTGTCACTTCTTCACGTTGTTTCGCCCCCTCCTGCTTCTGGTAAGCAACCTGTTTTGGGAAACACCCCCGGTTTCCGGTAAGAAGCCGAACGGGTTTCGGGAAGACGCCTAACAGTTTCTGGTAGCACCACAAGGGTATCGTGTTGAGCTGAAATGGTTTCTGCCTGCGCTTCATGTGAGTTTTGCATGGTTGTGGTAGCACGCCGCGGCGACTTAGGTAACAGAGCTGGAGATGCTTGCAGAGGCGCCTCCCCCGCTCGCCCACACAAGAAAGCTATAGGAAGGTCAGACAAGCATCCCAAGTACGTCCTATCCAGTAGATCGCATATTTTCATGTGGGACGTTCTTGAAAGGGCATCGGCTTCGAGGATCGAAGGAGTTGTCATCTCTTCCGCGGCGGAAGGCGCCGGAAGGTCGGCGGAAGTAATACGAGGCCGCTTCCGCCGGCGGAAGCTGGCGGAAGGCTGGCGGTGATGGCGGCAACGGAACAGGGCCTGAACCCACAGGAGGCCAAGGAGGCGCTGGACGTGTTGATCTCCATGTGGACCAAGGTGCAGGACCCCGCGGCGAAGCTCGTGGCCACACGCTGCTTCAGGGTCAAGACAGGCACACAGAAGGACGAGGAGGACACCGAGGGCATGGAGGTCAAATGGATCTTCGCGATCAGTCACTACCCGAAGTTCAAGATGGCCCTGACTGTACTCCGCGAGAACGGGGCGCTCGCAGTTGCGGGCATCCACCTGTGCTTCGACATCGCCACGCGGTCGAGGGCCGCGAAGCTGCTGGAGACGCTGGCGTTTCAGGGCGGATCGAGCTAGCCGCAGCAGAAGGGGGAGAAGACAACAACTCAAGGAGGAAGAGAACGAGGTGAGCGGAGCTGCAGGAGTGCTGCGAGAGCCGTGCCCTCCCCGTCTGTGTCCCCCCTTCCCGTCGCTCGAGCCTCCCCCCACGTCCCGCTCCAGGCCAGGCGACGCTCTCAAAGTACTTCAGTTTTGGACCTCGGGACCCCACGCGGCAATTCTTTCTCACGGGTCGGGGGCCCCATCCGCTGAGAGGTCAGCTTCGGCCGCTTCGGGGGGGTCGCGCGCCTCGCTCCGCCAGAGGGAGGGGGGGAGCCGCCCCGCAGTGCCACCCCGCAGAGGCCGGGGTGCGCAGGCGCGGGGTCGAGGCACTGCCGCCTCCTCCACCTCGTGCCTGCTTCCTCCTCCCCCCTAGGGCACCTTCAGTCTTTTCCGGTCGCGCCGCGGTTTATTGCGATTGTTTTGTGTTGCTCCCGCGAAGTTTTCTTGGGAGTGGGAGTAGCGTCCAAAAAGGAAGGCCGGCGGAAGGCGGCGGAAGTAACATGTGTACCCCCAAGAGATGAACATGTTTGGGGGTTCAGGGTTTCCGAAGCCGCTCATGTGAATTGTTGTTGATGCGTATTGTAAACGAGCAGCACATAATCATCATTTTGAAACCGAGCATTGGCATTCATACCATGCAGCAGTATTGATTGCAAGTGTGTTCGGAATCTTTGCCCCAGAGTGGTGGCCCAGCAAGTGCGCGGTGACGCGTTGTGCTTTCTAAATTTGAGACTGGGTTGCAGACGCGCGTCCGCCGAATATTGCGGTTACCTATGCCATTCTCGGGGAATTGGTCGATGTTGGTGACCGCGCCGTTGCTGGATTTTTTTGGATAGTCATGCGGCAGTGTCCCCACAGCCGGGCAGGGCCAACGAATTATTGAAGAAATGTTAGACGCGTCGCGTGACCCCGCCAGCCCATCCAGAAACAGCGCCCAGTGGAGTTGCCATGATCAGAGATGTAGAGGAGCATGCAATGGAATAAGTGCTTGGGAAGCCGAATTACCCAAAGAGGGGGAGGATGGAAGAAGTCTTGGAGGAGGAGGAGGAGAAGGAGGAGGAGGGGGAGAATGGGGAAGAGGAGGGAGGAGGAGGAGGAGGAGGAGGAGGGAGGAGGAGGGAGGAGGGAGGAGGAGGAGGAGGAGGAGGAGGAGGAGGAGGAGGACGAGGAAAACGAGGAGGAGGAGCAGGAGGAGGAGGAGGAGGAGGAGATGGCGAACAGAAAGGCCAGAGGCACCCGGGATGCCTCTCGGAGTCTTTTCGGAAGTCTCTGTGAGTTGCTTAAAGTACCCTTGGTGTGTCTTGGGGGCCTCTTGGCAGTCCTGGGGGCCTCTTGGAATGTCTTGGGTGGTTCGGGGGAGCCTCTTGGGGCTTCTCCGGGTCTCTTGGGAGCTTCTTGGGACCTCTTGGGGGCTTCTTGGGGCCTCTTGGGCGCCCTTTGGGGCCCTTTTTATACTGGATACCTTGGGGGCCATTTGAGGTCATCCTGGAGGAGCTCGATCAAAAAAGGATGGACTGAAGTAGCGCCCCCCCCCAAAGCAGCCGAAATATGCCCAACACCAAAATAATATCAGTGATGCTTGCTTCCTAGCCGATGCCTTACTGGACGCTCTAACGACCCGCGGCCCTCCCCTCCAGACCCAAGGCAAGGGGAGTACGACGAGGGGTCTAGCTACCCCAAGCCGCAAACCGCTTCGCTCACTACCACCCGCCTTCCCAACACGTGGGGCTGCATCCAAGCCTGGGGCCCCGATTCCCCTGAGTTCATGAGTCTTGCCAGAGCCACAGAGCAGATAATTTGAGGACGCCCTCGCCGCGCCTGGCAAAAAGCCAGTGTCAAGTGATCGCAGGGTGGCCGCGGATGATCCAGAGTTTGCCGCTAAGTGCACGTCGCATACCGTTTCTCAGAGGTTGTGAACTTGTACAAAGCAGCCGCTACGAGGGACCCCCCGCCCGCCGCCCCCTCTGTCAAAAACCGCTGCAAAATCATCTCGGGGCGTCCTCGCATGAACCACCTTTTGCCAAACAGTGTGCTCTGCATTGTGTGTTGACACGGGTGGTTGGGCTGCGCAGGGCGGACATTGTGAAAGCACCGCGGTCGCCACTGTCAAACATCATTGCGAAGTGCTTACGGCGCGCCCGCGCACGGACCAGATTCCGCCGCAAAGTGTATGTCGCAGTGTGTTTGACCAGGGTGGTAAGGCTGCATAGGGCGGACCATCTAAGGGCACCTCCACCGCCCCTGCCAAAAGCCGATGCAACGTGATCGCGGGGCATCCGCGCAAGGTCCAGATTTCAGTGCGAGGTGCAGATTGTGCTGTTTTTGTTGATCGGGGTGGTGGCGGTGGACCCCCATTAGTCTGGGTTGTCACCGATCGGGTGGGAGTGGGGGAACAGTGGTAAACCCTCCCCGAAGGAGAAGACGGGAGTTGGAAAAGGAATACCGTTAAACCACATTCGTCCAGAGGGCCAGTGGGATTAGGTCGCGGGTCAGGGAGTTCGTTGTCCGTCGGAATTCGATGGTATTGGATGGACTCCGTAGTTGTGGCCAGTTTGGCCAGTTCCAAAGCTTGCAAAGTTGGGTTCAAGTTGTCGGGTTTGGGTTTCCGTAGTTGTGGGCTTGTTTTTTTTGTTTTTTTGTAAATTGGGGACGTGGGCTGCCATAGAGGGCACCGGGTGGAAAACGGGAACGCCCGCTTCGGTATCCACCTGTCCCGGCGGGAACCTGGTTGACGGTTTACCGCCGGCTCCCAGTACCTCGTAGAAGTTTTCGGCATCGACGAGCTAGAAGAATCCCGGCGCGGGGTGGAGCTAGTGACACGTAGAGCTTCCCTAAAAGCGAAGCGGCGAAGTCGGAGAGTAATACCTCGAGGAGCTTTTCGGCAACGATGAGCTGGAGGAATTCCGGCGCGGGGTGGAGCTAGTGACTCGTAGAGCTTCCCTAGGAGCGAAGCGGCGAAGCTAGAGTGATTCCGGCGCGCAGGGGGGCTAGTTGGCCCGAAAAATCTCGACGGAAGTTTTTTTTATCTATTAAAATCATTTTCTCGAAATTTGAAAATTCGTTGAAGCTCTAAGTTTTTCCCACCCATCTTCGATCTAATTCCCGGTCGCCATCTCAATCTCAGGTTGATCGGGTACATACTACTGTCAAAAAGCACTCAGGCGCGGGATCGGCTGTTTTGTGTCATCTTGACAGGTGCTGTCGGTTCTCTTAACTTAACTCGAGCTGTAGAACCGCTACAGAGCTGACAGGCACACCTAATTCATCTAGAACCATTAGGCGCGCTAGTCTCAAGTATCTAGATGGCCGAACTCGGCTCACTATCAGAACTAAGACTTCAAAACTATTCGTACTCTGCTATTTGTTTGAGCTGACGATATTTGTCTTACCTTAACTCGAGCTGCAATTGAGCTACGTAGCTGTTCAACACAGCAATCGGAAGATAATCATCAGAAGCACCAGTCTTAAGTATGGCCTAGCTCGGACCACTCCCAGAGCTAGAATCAAAAAAAAACTATGCGTCTACTATTTTTCTGTCGATAACGATGTTTTGATGAACTCAACTCGTGCGCTACCGAGCTGTTTGGCACAGCAATGGGAAGGGCATCATCAGGAGCGCTAGTCTCAAGTATCTAGATTGCCAAACTCGGTTCACTACCAGAGCTAGAACCCCAAAACACTATTTGTACTCTGCTATTTTCCTGGGACGACTATGAACTTCTCAACTTAAAGCGAGTTGCAGATGAGCTACAGAGCTGTTGATCACACCATTCGGAAGAAAATCAAGAGGAACGCTAGTCCGAAGTATCTATATGTCTGAACTCGGTTTACTACCAGAGCTGGAATCAAAAAACGATTCGCGCTCTGCTCATTTTTCGAGCTGTAGGCTGGCTTCGGAGCTGAAAAGCATTTCGAAGCAGAACGTGACCACGTAGATTCGCCTACGGTATCGAGACGTCTTCTCGTCTCTCTCCTCCTCCTCCTGCTCCTCTTCCTTCTTTGCTTCTTCTTTTCCACTTCCCCTCCTTTTGCCTCCTCCCCATCGCCGTTTCTTCCTCTTCCCTCCTTCTCCTCCTCGTTGTGCACCAATATTGGTTTGGGTATCCACGAATCGGCGTCCACCCACCGAACTCGATGTTCGATATCAACGTTTCCCCTGGCGACCGCAATATCGGATCGAAAGTTACACGTGCCAATCCAGGGATGCAGTATTCGGTATGTCTTCGGATGTGTTTCACTATTTATCATATATTTCGATGTGTCCCATGGTTGGTATCGTATTTTTCCAGATAGCTTTCGCAATGAACTGATCGTTTTATGTCGTTCCGCTCGTTGTCAGCGACACCCAGCTTGATATTGTATGGTCGGTTTTATGGGACTGTGTTTCGTTGCTTGTGATGTATTTGAACGTTTGGCATCAAGTGATTATATAATGGAGCCCAGGTTTCCATAATTACTTGAACGCAGGTTTCCGTAACAGCTGAACGCAGGTATCCATAACAACAGATTTGGGTTGTCATAGCACTGGGTCTGAGTTTTCATGACAGCGGACCTGGGGTGCCATTAAAGCGCACACGGGCTTCCATAATTGCGGACCCTGGTGCCCATGATTGCGGACCCGAGATTCCATAACAGCGGTCCAGAGGTTCTGTAACTTGTTTTCTAGTGCAACAAATGCGGAACCAAGGCATATTATCAGAAACTTTGTTGGGGGTGGAACGTAGCGCGCCGGAAAAATGTGCAATGATTCGGCAGCGCTGCAGGTCAACCAGCGTCAGAAGAGGAGGAGGGGGTGGGGGAGGAATCATACGTGTGTAAACGGCGGCGTGTGTATCATTGTATCTCAGGAAGATTTGCAAGCTCCCGCAGCACGGCATGTGTTACGGCAGACTGTAATGTTATCGCGGGCAAAATTTTACCACCTATGTTGGAGGCTCAGAATGGTACCATTGCGGATCTAACCGTGCATTTTTTGGATTTGTTTTTCAGAGAGTTCTGACAGCAATCGAATGCATTTGTCCCTCTATGTGCCGTAGATTTCAGCATTTGAGCACAGTAAATATCCAAACTTGCTATCTCGCACCTCGTGGTAATCGTTGATGTTCTTATTCCGCGCTTGCTGTAATAAAGTGGCCCCGCTGTTATTCGTGCTAGATCGTGGGGCTGATGATGGTAGCGTCACGAACAAGGGAAGACTTCGATCAACGTTTAACCTTGGCACCACAATGACTAGTCGACGTGTGTCTTCTGGGGGGACTGGTATGCTTGCACCAGAGAATATCCATTCACTACTTCTGTCTGGCAAGTTCCAGC